AGCAGTGTACTTCGTAGATCTGCCTGTTCTGCTCCCCACTCTGTCTCTGGTGAAGCCTCTCACCGCCCCTGAGCCTCTGGCCTGTACCCCAGTTCTGTATGCACAAATAAATAAATAAATCTTTAAAAAAAAAAAAAAAAAATGAAGGTGAAATAAAGATATTCCCAGATAATCTAAAGCAAACTTCTTTGCTAGAAGAATTGCACTACAAAAATGCTAAAGTAGGTCTTCAGGTTGAAAGAATAAACACCAGACAGTAGCTCAAGTTCACATACGTCAAGAAAGAGTTCCATTTGAACCTAAAGAAAACCTAATGAATGCAAAGACATCCCATGTTTATGGAACAGAACATTTAATATTTGAAGATGACAATAGTCCTGAGATGTAACACATTTCTAACAAAAATGTATCTGGATTCTTTGAAGAGTTAATTAGGTGACCTTAAAATCATTTGGAAACTCAAGGGACTCAGAAGAGCCTAAACAACTTTGAGTAAGGAAAACAAAGTCAGAGAACTTGCTCTCCTGATTTCAAGATTTGCTGCAAAGACAGTCATCAAGTCCCAGTGGTACTAGGATAAGAGTCGATCGAGGATGTGATCCAGCATTCTTCTCTGAGGTACCACCCAAGAAAAAGACAAGTGTATATCCATATAAAGATTTAGAAACAATTCATTGAAGCTTTATTTTTACTAAACAAAGACTGAAAGCTACCCAAATATCCATCAACAGATGGATGGGTTAAAAAAATAGGGAACATCAACACAATGAAAAATTAATGAGCAGTAAACAGAATTAACTATGGGTACATTCAACAATATGGGTACATTTCAAAAGAATTATTCATAGTAGAAGAAACCAGGGAAAAGAGAGAATATAATTTAACTGTAAGATTCCACTTATGTAAAACTCAAAAAATGCAAACCCTTGAATATGATAGTAGATCGGTGGTTGCTTGGGGAAGAAGTGAAAGAGGGGAAAGGTAGGGATTATGTAGGTGTTTGAGGGAATTTTTCAGATTTAATGGATATGATCACCAGTTGATGATATAGCTTGAGCTCAATTCAAAGCGCAGTTTACATACTGGTCAACTTACATTTAATTTTGTGTTTCCATCTTACCAGGGAATATTTCTGCCCCATCCTATACTGAAGGCTTTGTAACTTTCTATTTCCTTCCCAAAGAAGAAAAAAAAGTTATCATTTTACTTAATGAATTAATGGATGTAGAGACAAAAACTTGGGCAATGACATCATAATAGCAAGCGGATGTACAGTGCCCCCTGGTAGAAGCACAATACTCTAGAATATTCCTCTTCTAGAATGACATGTGAAAAGCTATGTTAAACATGGTTGGAGAAAGTTATTTTCAAAAGTTAAGTTTCTGGAAATTTTCCTAAGGGCATAGAACAAATGAGGAACATTTATGCAAGAAAGCTGACTAAAATCAAGAACAACAGAGTCTGTGGCATTTGAACTATGATCAGCTCCCTTCCTCCCTGTGCCCTATCCAGTATGATGAAAAATCTACTCCAGGTTGCTACAGACCATAAGGTTCTCTGTAGGTCTGAGGAGGTCTGAGGAGAGGACTAGAGTATCCTCCCAAAATGGGTAGCATGCCAGCATTTCATTAACCTCTCTTGATTCGTGCTTCAGAAGTGAAATTCTGGTCAAGTACAGTTAATAGGTTAAGGACTCTTCTTCTCCCCTGTACCTACTCGTGGAGGAATGATTCTGTTTCAGGCTCAGCATGCTAAAAATATTGGGGTTCTACTTGCTCACTTGTAGACTAGAGGTTATCACCCACTACCTGGTTCTGAAAATAATTGTCACTGAGAAAGAATTGTGTCTCTATCCCCATCCCTAGCTCTTGCACCTTAGTGCAGATATTTTGCTGGGGGAGTAGGTGAGAGAGGCAGACCTGAAAACAGTCTGCTCTAAGGCTCTATCAAGGAAACAGACTATTAGAAACAGAATATAGGAAAGTTCAAGTCTAACAGTCAAGCTTAGAAGCAAAGGAGTTTTGAGGGGAAACAATATAAAGGAGATTGGTATATTTTTATTAGTAATGTAAGTTAAATTATAGGACAGTTAATTTACTACAGATAATCAACAAAGACAGCCTAGAAGAACCCTCATAAGATTTAAAAAAAAGGAAACTCACTGACACCGCCCCCCACCAAAACCAAAAAACTATCTCTATAAAAGAAGCCAAGTTTAATTGGATTAGTCTGTGAAGCAATTTATGCTCCATAGATTTGATGGAAACAATGCAGCACTACCCAGAGTTGCTACAATATAGTACCCAAGATGTCCAGTTCCCAACATAATGCATTGTGCAATCAAACAGGAAAATGTGACCCACGCACTGGAGGAAAAGCAAGCAATGGAAACTGCTTGTAAGAAAAGACCACACAATGCATTTTAACAGACAATGCATTTAACAGATAATACTTCTGAATAGACAATAAAAACATGTTCAAAGAAATAAAGGAAAACATGCTTAATCAACTAAAGGAAGCATGATGACAATGTCTCACCAAGTAGAGAATATCAGTAAGATTCTCTATTTGATAACAATAGTAAACAACAGTATCACTAATATCAACAGCGCCACTCCTCTGTATGTTATTATTTCCATACACATTGTCTCTCTTCCATTACAATCTCTCTACACCATTCATATTTATTGTTTTATGCAGTTGTTTAAATCAGTGGAAAGTGTGGCAGGCATTTATTTTTACGTTGTAACTATTTTTTATTTCTGAGGATGGATTTGAATTGCTTTCTAGTGTCCTTTCATTTCAGTCTGAAGAACTTGCCTGATTTATCTTTTTAAACTTTTATCTTTTTTATTACACATTTCAGGTAACATTGTTTTACAACCCTGTGTATACATGATTTAGAGGTACAGGTTGACACCTTTTCAGATTATGTTAACACACCACACCCCACCACCAAAGAACCATCAATCCTCCATCCTAGTCCATCCACCACCACCCCTTTACCCTCCCCCTGATAATTCAGTTCTGCCATCAGATTTCCCAGTTTATTTTGGCTAGTTTTTGCTGACCTTTGTTGTGTGTGTTCTTTTTTCCCACATCCCACATATGCGTGAAAGCATCCAGTATTTCTCTTTTCTCCTTCTGACTTATTTTGCTTAGCATAATCTCCTAACAATGTGGAACACTCCATGGGTCTTGTTGTATCATCCTTGTGCAGGGGCCATGTAAATGTTCTCTGTATTGGTCAAAGTTTAGTCTATGTGCTGCCAAGGTGAATTTCCTTTAGGGTCTGTCTGCTAGCAGTAAGTTGTCTCCATGTTTGTTCATTTGGGAATATTTTGACTTCTTATTTATTTACAACAATTTTGTAGTTATGTTTATTGAGGTAATGTTGACTTACAAAATTGTGTTTCAGGGTATACTTTAGTTCACAACTCCACAAACATATGTTCTCATAATGTGTCCACCATCAAAACACCAAAAATCTTCCAGCAGAGTCCTATGAACCCCCTACTCCTTTTGATCCCATCTTCCACCTCCTCTTCTGGTGACTCAATACTGCTTACTGATACTTCAAGGGTCTTTTGGTTTGCTTTTTTTTTTTTAAAGATTTATTTATTTGTGCATACAGAACTGGGGTACAGGCCAGAGATGAGGAGGGTGAGAGGATTTACCAGAGAGTGCGGGGAGCAGAACAGGCAGATGATCAAGGTACACTGCTGAGGGGAGCAGCGGGCGGGTCAGGAGAGGTCTGCCACGCCATGTGGTCTCCTCCGGGGCAGGCGGGGATCGAACTCATGCAGAAGTGGCTTTAGCTTCTTAGTGCTGTGCCTTAGCCCGCTGCGCCACCAGGGAGGGCCTATACCTTCTCTCTCTTTTTTTTTTTAAATATTTATTTATTTGTGCATACAGAACTGGGGTACAGGTCAGAGACTCAGGGGTGGCGGAAGACTTCACCAGAGACAGAGTGGGGAGCAGAACAGGCAGATCAACAAAGTACACTGCTGAGGGGAGCAGCGGGCGGGTCAGGAGAGGTCTGCCACGCCATGTGGTCACCTCCAGGGCAGGCGGGAATCAAACTCACGTGGAAGTGTTTTCAGCTTCTTAGTGCTGTGCTTTAACCCGCTGCGCCACCAGGGAGGGCCTATACCTTCTCTTTTTAAAGCAATTTATAAGTGCCTGCTTTTATACCTGGTGACTGTGAAAGCTGAGAAACACATATTCCGTTTTATTGAAGTTCAATAGTTTTTATTTAATAGTATTTAAAGTGAAAGATACTTTTCTAATGAAATTTGAAGACTCCATGATGTAATTAATGCTCATAACCAGTCCAGTTTTTACTCTCACTCAAGCAAAAACATTAAAGTTTAAAGTCATATTAAAGTGAAACATTTCTTCCAGAATTTCCGACTGTTTTATCTTTCCTATGGAAAAACAAAACTTTAGCTAGTTGGCTAGCATCTACAAATGTTTACTTACACAATATACCGGAACATGTCTGGAAGGCTGTTATCTGCATTTTCAAACTAGTATTTTAATTTTTGGTTTGTGTTTGGCTTGACTGTTCTCTTTCCTAAATGTGTCCTAGGAAGCTCGCACCCACTCAGGTGAGGCAAAGGGCCAGAGCAATTCACCGCGTCGCCGCTCTTCCATGGAACTTTCTTCCTAGGGGATGAGTCACGGTCTCAGAGCCTCAATACATGTGAGGGCGAAAATGCCATCATTTAATTAAGTTCAGAAGTTCAAAGAGTAGTAGCAGGCCCTTTGGTGGCAAGCAAGAGAGCGGTCCAGCAAGAACCACAAGTGCGAGCCATGAAGAGCCGCTTCCCGGGCTCCCAGGCTACTCGGGAGGGGGGCGGGGCGGCGGTGACAGCCGGCGCGCGCATGCGCA